AGGGATCTGTGACCCCACGGGCAGAGCGTGGCAGGACATGGCACCCTATCCGGCAGGTCCTTCTTCTCTCAGCTAACTGCATAGTGAGGTGTGTGTCGCGTCGGCAGTCCTTTGCCGAGGAGCTGTTGGGCTGTGCTTTCTCCGGTGTGCTGGAAGCCGTTTCCCATCTTGTAGAAACATGGGGGGGGGGGGGGCTCCAATGGGACCTCCCGCCCCCAGGGCTGTGGCTATGGGGGGAGCCTTGGCCCCGAGGTCGGGGTGCGCTACGGGACTCGGGGGGGCCTCCGGCTCAGCCACTGACCAAACCTTCTCTTCTTTCTTTTTTCTCTTGTGCCGGGATCCCGCTAGGAAAAGGGAAGGAGAGAGGATGGCTCAGCTGCGCACTGCGTCCTGGGCTCGGGTTCCTTGGATGACTTCATCCACCTGTCCTCCGAATTCTGCTAGCCGCCCCGTGCCTGGCCCACCCGGACACCCCGTCCTGCCCCACCAGCCAGGGCCTGGTGCCCACCAGGACCTGGTTGGCCCCCAGGCCGGCCCCTGCGTGCGCCCACCGGCTGCCGCCAGGCCACCCCCTTGCTCAGACCCTAGAGCTGATGTGGGAACTTTCTGCAGGAGAAGAGCCGGTGGGGTCCGGGCTCAGTCCCGAGCTGCTGGGGGACATGTGCCGCTCGCTCTGGGGGGCTCCAGGAGTGGGGGGCTGGTAGGGCAGCGTGAGGGTCTGAGCCCCTTGGGATGGCAGGACCAGCCCTGCGAGCGTGGCAGCTCCCAGGTTAACGGCGTCCGGCATGCTGCCTCTCCTGCCTGTGGTGCCAGCGGGAAGGGGGGCACATCCTAGCCCCCCAGGGTGCCTGGTGGGCTCCTCCTTGAGAGGAGCCATCGTTTGCTGTCCCAGCACCGGGAGTTTTCCCTTCACCTCCCCGTTCCTGGCCAGAGCCCCTGCTGTCGTCCAGCCCTTGGCCTTGCTGCTGCTCTGCCCTGCTTCCACCAGGCCCCTTGGGATCATGGTGGGGGGGATCTGAGCCCCCTCTGGGGTTGGGATGGTGTGAGGTGAGCGTGGCCAGCCCCACTGCTGCCCTCCTGATGCCGTCCGGTTTGTGAGGGCTTCAGGGAAGAGCCGGTGTGGCCATGGGTTGGCACTGTCGGCACTGACAGTGCTCAGCCTGGGAGGTCTTGGAGGTTTGGGGTGCCATGCTGTGGGAGTCTCGGGCTCAGGGCGGGCATGCTCTGGGGGTCTCTGAGGCTTGGGGTGCTGTGATCTGGGGGTCTTAGGCTTGGGGGTTTCTTCTTTGCTCCGTAGGTGGAGGGGAGGCATCATGGCAAGGTGGTCTTGGAAGCTGGCCGAGGGTCGCTAGCAGCAGGGCTCAGCCCTGAGCCCCCCAGCCCTCCTTGCCTCGCAGGCACCAGCCCTCACTGGGGTGCTGGCCCTGCGGCACCCATAGGAATAGGTTTTGGGGGGCTGTTGGCTGAGGTGTGGCCCTGGGTTTGGGGATCCCTAGTGCCATGCTCCCCTTCCTGGCTGCCAAGAGCCCTGCACTTCCCCAGGTCCGGCACTGGGACAGGCAGAGCCATTCTGCCCAAACCAGCATCCATGTGGGCCCAGCACAGTGTATGGCCCTTGGCCGTGGTGCTCTGCACCGCAGGTCCCTCTGGCTCCCAGAGCTGCTGGCACCCTGGGCAGCCAAAGATTCGGTTATTTGGCGTTGCACTTTGCATTGGAGATCTCATCCTGCAGCCGGGCTTGTCCCAGCGGGGAGCTGTGCATCCCCCAGCCCAGGGTGGGGGGAAGGACGGGACCCTCGGTTTGGTGCTGTGGCTCCTTGGATTGTTGGATTGTGCCTCCCTGAAGCGGCTCTTGGGTGCCTGACGGTGCTGCAGGAGGGGCCGCGGATGGATTCCTTCCCTCATTAAAGCCTTATCCCACCAGCGTGGCTCTGCCATTTTCCTGTGCCGGGGCGGGGGGGTCTGCTGCTGAAGGGGTGTTCATGCAATGAAATGGAAGAGAAGGCAGTGGGCGCTTCCTCACAGGGCTGCACAAGAGCAGGAGGCGGCCGAGCCATCCTGAGCAGCCCACGCCAAAGCTCGGCCTCGGTGCTGCACCTTCACGGCTGCTGCTGCTTTGCCGGGGCAGGGCTGGTGCTGGGGAGGGGGTGTGGGGTGGGACGGGGACCCTTGGCAAAGCACGGAGCCCTGCGTGGGTAGTGCTCAGGAACGGGTTTGTGACTGCGATGATCATGAAGTGCTGGCGTGGCGTAAAGTCTCACCAGCGCCCAAGCTCTAGCAGACTTGGCTCCCCCAGTCCACTGCAGCTGGGGAGCGGGGGCCATGCTGCCTTCTGCACTGGCTTCAGCAACACACGCAGACAGTCACAGGGTTTAAAATATGTTAAAGTGCCTCAGAAATGCCCACGCCGGCCCTCTGGGGACTGCTGGGACCCTGGCTACTGCCAGGGCTTGGTGCTCACGTCCCTCGGCTGCACAAGCATGTGGCTGTGCTGGGGAAATGCCAGAGTGGGGCTCAGTGCCGGGTCTGACCGCACACCTTGGGGTGCGGTAGCTGCCCCCTGCCTCTGCTTTCCTTTCCCTGGGGGGGTGTCCCTGCAAATCCAGACCTGACTCCCTGAGCGCAGCCATTCCTCCTGGCTACCAAAGCTGTGGGGGACTCGGGACAAGTGGCCCCGGTCCTTTGGATGGTGGCCACGAGGGCTGTGAGAGGTGTGGAGTCACACCAGCCTCCCTGATGATGCTTCTTCACTGCTGGTGGGGCTGTGCTGGCTCTCCCAGTAGCAGCCGTGCTCCCGGTGGGGCACAGCCAGAGATGTGCCCTTGGCTCCAGCTCAGGAGCTGGCCGCTGCAGGTGGCAAACACTGGTCTTGGGCCTCTCTGCTGGGGCACCTAGCCCAGCTTGGGGGGCTGGTGGCAGTGCTGGGGGGCTGACTGGGGTTGTTCCTCGCTGGCAGGCGCTGGAGGCTGAGCGGCTGAAGAACTTCCAGCAGCTGCTGCAGCTGGAGGAGGAGGTTCTGGTGCCCAACCGGGAGGTGCTGGAGTGCCGCATCTGCTACCAGCGGGTCGCCCCGGGTGAGGGGGTGCTGCTGCGCGAGTGTCTGCACAACTTCTGCAGGTAACACCCGAGGGAGCCGCTCGCGGTCCCCAAGCCCCCCACCATCGCGGTGACCAGTCCCAAGACCCCCCAGCCCTGTATTGTCGTGGTGACCAGCCCTGAGCCCCCCCGCACCGTCGCGGTGACCAGGTGCCTGTTCCCGCAGGGAGTGTCTGCGCCAGGTGATCAACTACAGCGAGGAGCCGGAGGTGGCCTGTCCCTTCCGTGACGACTCCTACGCCTGCAGCAGCCACCTCCAGGAGCGGGAGATCCGGGCGGTGAGCGTGTACCAGGTTGCTGCTGGCAGTGCCAGGGTGGGGGGGGGGGCCGCATCCTGCCCCTGCCTGTCTCCGCAGCTGGTGTCGCCAGAGGAGTACCGGCGGTTCCTGGAGAGGAGCCTGGTGCTGGCGGAGCGGCGCAGCCAAAACAGTTTCCACTGCAAGACCACTGACTGCCGGGGCTGGTGCATTTACGAGGATTCGGTCAACGAGTTTCGCTGCCCCATCTGCCAGGCCCTCAACTGCTTGCTCTGCAAGGTGAGCTGCTGCCATACCGCTCCTGCCCTTGGCATCGCCCCCCACCACTGCAGAGGGGGCTCGGGGGGGTGGGCAGCGGTGCTGAGCAGTGCCATCTCTGCACCCCCTCAGGCCATCCACGAAGGGAAGAACTGCCGGCAGTACCAGGATGACCTGCAGGTCCAGGCGCAGAACGACTCGGCCGCCAGGCAGACAAACGACATGCTGCAGGTGGGGGTCCCGGTGGGGGGCCGGTGGGGCGGGCAGGGGGTTGCAGCGTGTCCCCCCCCGTCCCTCACGGCTGCCTCTCCCCCACTGCCAGACCCTGGTGCAGATTGGGGAGGCCATGCACTGCCCCACCTGCCTCATCATCGTCCAGAAGAAGGACGGCTGCGACTGGATCCGCTGCACCGTCTGCCAGACCGAGATCTGCTGGGTGACCAAGGGGCCGCGCTGGGGGCCCGGGGTGAGCAATCCTGGGGGGCAGGAGGGATCACCCCCCCCTGCATTCCCCACAGGTGGGGAGGGGGCTGGGTGAGCCTGCGGGGCCCAGGAGCCCCACGTTGGGCTCCCACCCTAACCCTAACCTCGACCCGCTCTCCTCCCACCCAGGGTCCCGGGGACACCAGTGGCGGATGTCGGTGCAACGTCAATGGACAGAGGTGCCACCCCCGGTGCCAAAACTGCCACTGAGCCCCCGCCGGGCCTGGGGGGGCCCGCTGGGGGCGGCGGGGGCCGGCAGCCGCTCTCCTCACACCGAGGGCCAGCCCAGCGGGGCTCAGAGCCGGCACCACGGCCGGAGCGGGGCCCAGAGACGCTTGCGGTCGCGGGGGAGAGCCACATCCCCCAACCAGGAAAGGAGAGGATGGAATCAGGGTGCGGAGGTGCCGTGGGGCCCTGCGCTGGTGGGGAGCAGGTCTGGGGGGGCTGCACGGAGCCTCTGCCAGCAGCAGAGCCCCCGTGGGGGGGAGCAGCACGTCCCGTCCCAATAAAGCCATCTGTGTGCCAGAGCCTTGCTGCCAGCGCTGCTGCAACAGTGGGGCCGTAACTCGCCCCCCTGAGACGGGGGCGACGGGGATCGGCCCTTCAACAAGCTCACGACCCGATCCTGAGGGAGCGGGGCCGGCGGGGGGAGAGCCGTGGCACAGGCAGACACCACGCCACGCTTTCCCCTTGAACAACCAAGATTTTTATTTCTGTGCCCCCAGCCCCCGCAGGTGCCGGCCCCCCCCAAGGAGGGTGAGCGGTGGCACCTGCGGGGACCAGGGGCAATGTTAAATAAGGAGGCGAGGTGGGAGCACACGCTGCTGGCTGCGGGCCCCCCCCCCCCCCA